CCACTTTGATGTGCATAATGCAATCCTGCCTCTCTATCAGTGCTGTGGAGGTGCCGTGAAAACCAGCTGAGCTATAACTTGCACAGAGCAGAGCTGTGGGTGAATTATGAAAGTAATTCCCTGGCAAGTGTAATTATTTCTCTCCTCATACACTGCACTCATCACAGGGTCTGGGGAAATTTCAGTGGAATGTAACAGACACACTCTCGGCCTCAGCCACCAGAAGGGTAGAACACTTCCGCTAAAAACCGGAGGTTCTCGTTTACACCCATTAATAACATCTTCTACATTAATGAATTGCATTCATGCTGTCATCCATTAAGAAGGTACTTTGAGGTCTCTCTCTGCACAGAACACTAGCTTCTCCTGATGACTCTATTGTTATACAGCCCATAAATAAAACAAGTATTTTCCCTTCATATTTGAGGTCTGCAATTAAATCTACTAAATGGACTGCAGATGCATGGTTTACAGTAAGTGATTCATCTTGGAAGATCATGGAAATGTCGAAGTCACCACAATGAAGTAGCAGAGTTGTCAAACTAGGAGAAATTCAGAGTGTAACAAACACCATGAATTTCATCTGTGCGAGCCAACCTTCTTCCTGACTATGGCCAGTAGTGAAGAACTTAAAACTTGAAGTAGCAAACCCTGTATTCCACAGAAATTATGATCTTATGTTAATTTTTCAAATGAGAAATTGCATTTTCTGAAAGAATAGTATGCAGTGAAGTAATAGGTAACAGACGCTTGCTACTAAGTACAGCCTCCAATGTGCTAAACTTCAGGGAGGAAGGGGACTCACCTAAGAGAAGGAAAAGGTCTGTTGTATTACTAAATGGAGAATGTTGGATAGAAACAGAGAAAAACTGTTTAGTGGCAATATATTCTTCTCTGGAACAGTCTATGCTCTGAATTACAGCTCTGATTGCTATTGTGTAGCGGCACTACTTGCCTCAGAACATCCTCTGGTGGTAGTACCATCCCTTTGAGGAAAAAAAAAAATCTCAATTTCAGAGACAGCAGGGTTCATGGGGCATACTGCTTAGGGAGAATTGCTTTCTTCTCATTCATCAGAGCAGGCCTAGTCTCATGCTTCAGCAATATCCCACATTTACCTAGAAATGGCACATGTGGGGTTCAGATGAGTGCTGACTGTTGAAGAGTTGCAGAGCTACACAAAGCATAAGGCAAGCCTACAGAGCACTGCAGTCTTTCTGAAAGCAAAGTTGCAGTCTCAGTCCTTGCCCCATGCTAGGCTGTCCTAAGATTTCTTGTCTCTGCTAGACCAACTTCATCATCAACTATTATATCCTTATACTACAAATTAGAACCAGGAACTATGTGCCCTAGACATTTTATGTAGTCTTGGAAATCTGGATCTGGAGCCAGGCAATTGAAGTCAGAGAAGGAGAGAGAGAGAGAGAGAGAGAGAGAGAGAGAGGTATTAGTTTCTTTACAGAAGACAGAGAACTCTCAGGTGGCAGGATGAAAATGGTCCCTGAGAACATAAAATAATTGTTAATTAGTTACATCACCATCATCACTTGTTATTCATTGTATTGATTTTGTCTCCTTCTAAAGCATCAGTCAAATATTAACTCACTGACACCAACAAAGTGTTGGCTCACAAGCCCTACAAGGCGTGTCTTGTCTCCTCAAAAGAAGAAGAAAACAACCTAGACTTCCCAGTAGTATCTGATGTGCGGAGAGTGCCCATTTGTCTGCAAGCAGCTTTTACGGGTTTACTGAAGAATACGACTCTCTTTACTGGCCAGGATTATTCTCCCAGTGGTGGGAATACACATCTATTTACAGGACGCACATAGAGGAGCTGCATTTAATTTGACATTTGCATAGAAAAAAGTGGGGTCATGCATCCCTTGGTGGTGAAATGGTGCTTTGATTCTGGAGCAACTATTTTGCTTTCAAAACCACAAAGAATTCCTGGTAGTTTCAAAGCATGGTCGGCACAAGAGAGATACCAGGAAGAGCCCTTGATCATTTAACTCTTCAATAAAACTTGCAAAATCTTGGAAAACCTTACTTTCTGAATTTCTCCTTATCCAAGGAATCCAAAAATGAAACAGCTCATAATTTTATGCCCTGTGCTGAGTTTTATGGGATTTCATGTGACATGAAGTCTTATGCCTTCAGAATCGCTGTGGCAGAGTCCTGTTGGCATTTCTGTTGTAAAATGCCACTAGATTCTCAAGGGAGACGCTTATGTCACTTCATTAAGAGACAATGACACAGACTAATGCCCGCCTAAAAATAGGGTTAGTTCTTCTTTGACGGACCTAAAGTGTACAAATCAGTTCCTGGCTCAAAGGGGGAAAGAAGAAGGGGGAGTCAAACAAACTGAATGGAGCAAGATGAAGAAGGTCTTATAAAGGTTTTGTGAACACTCTGTCAGATCCTGTTCTTTCCTTCCTTCTCACAACCATTACCTCTTTCTCCAGACTGCTGTGAGCTTGGTTGTGCTCTCAAATGTGTTGGATTAGGTGAACCATCATTCAGCTAGTGTTTCCATATCAAAGGAAAACAATGTGAATCAGGCCTGTGATACTTTGGTCCACTCAGAACCTCTAGAGATCGTCCTGTTCATCACTGCCAATTAACAAGATTGAAGCTCAAGGTCTGCTGTGCACAGCCCC